TCTCCTCCTCTCTCTCTCTCTCTCTCTCTCTCTCTCTGTCACCCTCCAATTATTTTACTTAAGCAATTAATGGCCTAAATTATTTTATTATAATTGTTTAATGTTAAATTAGCAATTAAAAATGTTCAAACTTATTTGAAACTTTTAAGAATATTTCAACCAAAAAAGTTACAGCAATAAACGGATAAGAAAAATGATTGCAACTGTAACATTGAAAATGCAAAATTAACAATGGACAAAAACATTAGGTGAGTAAGCTAACCAAAATAGAAAATAAAAAAATAAAATAAAATAAAATTCAAAGGAATGGAATAAAACATTTCTGTGATTGGATGATAAACGTATGTTATGACTGTCAAAGCACAATTTGACATTAAATCCATTTTTTTCGTTTTTTTTCCTTTTTTTCTAGATAAATATACATGTATGATATGATATGATTGATGTATTAGTTAGGATGTAAACTAATGAGAGGTTTTCAATCTTTGATCGATAATAATGTGATAAAAATTGTCAGATTAATATGGTAACAATATGTAATTCAAATTAAAATTCTCTTAACTTTAGTAAAATGAAAGAATAATTTGAGTTAACAATTATTTTGAAAATATTAAAACAAAACTTTTGCATCCTTCTCATTGATTAATATTTGTTTAATCAATGTTGAAATGGAATGATCATATAACCAAACTTTTTCCAATTTTTATTTGTTTCATTTTTATAATAAATCCTATAGAGTGTGATTGAATAAGATTGAGTAGCTTTGGATGAATCAATAAATCATGCGACACTCTCAACTTTGACTCTAGTTGATCAGTAAGAGAGTGGGAGGGAGGGGAGAGATGGGAGAAAAAAAAAAAATGCTTGATAATCTTACAATGGTTCAAGTAACTAAAATTTAACTGATGAATTGGAAAAAAAAAAAATGCTGGAAAAAACTTCATATTCAGCTTAAATGCAAACAAAAAAATGCATTATACAAAGAAATGATAAGCGTATTCAAATCCCAATGATAGTTTTATTTTTATTATTAAAAAACAGAATCATATTGATCATTACAATAATTAGTAAAAGTATTAAAATAGATGAAGTATCATTTATTTCTTCAATTAAAATCTACATCAGTAAAAGGAAATAAATTAAAATTCGTCATGAAAATGGAAATAAAATTCAAAATGATTGTTTCTATCACTGATCTTTTAATCATTCATAATCAATCATTCGTAACAAATATTAAAAGAAATTTTGTTCGTTTACAAAATGGATGAATCAAACTACAATTAATTTGTATAGCTAAATAAAGGGCAATCAGATAATTGCAAACTTTGTTATCATTTAGCGATGAAACTTCTTATCATTACTGTTATACTTCAGAATTTGATTACTTTTTAACCCTCTTTTTTGCGTGAAACATTTAAATTGTTAGCTAAAACAATCAATTACATGAAGTAACAATCATTCATGCATTATTATTATCAGTTCTGCTGTAACAAAATGTATAATTCGAATTTGCAATTGAAGAATTTATCATAAAATTCATCACTTCGTATTTCATTCAAAAATTTGAACCATATATAGTCAAATTAATTTACAATTAATTGATCTAAAAAATATAGGCAATTAAATTCTCGTGAAATTTTTTCCTGTTAGTTTTTTTTCTTCGTTTTACTTTTCACAAAACTTGACGAATATGGAAAAAAATAATATTAAATTTCTTTTAATAACAAAATTTGATTGTAATTTCAAATAATTTTTAAATTCCAAAAAAAAAACTAAACGAAAAAAAATGCATTCAAAGCGTATAACATCAGCAAATGAATGTTTCATATATATCATAGAAACGAAAAAAAAAAATGTAACATTCCTACAATAGAAATTTTTGAAGTCAAAATAAAACTTTTTTGCCGGACGAATACATTTTTTGCATTGCAAGTCATTTTACATAATGGTTTTTGTCAAGGATTGATGTTTGACAAATTCTTTTTTTTCTTCCTTTTTGATCCTCAATTCATATTTCACTTCTCCCACTTGTTTCAAGCAATTCTCAAAATCTTTCTCTTCCCCTTTTTCTTTTTTTTGTTTTATGACACCCAACGGACATGTTACAATACAGTAACAAAGATATTTTCAAAAAGTTGTTCGCCCAAAAAAAAAAGCCATCCTTATTTACTTTTCCATCGAAAAAAAAAAATCCAGAGTTGTTAACATTGAATAAAGTTGCAACTAGTAAAGTTATTAAGGTTTTTTTAAAGGTTTTTCTTTTTTGCTCAAGAATTTCCATTGCATTTTAATTAAATATCGCATTGTTTGCACCTTCCCTCCTTCCCAAACCCTTTAATTGTAATCAGCAAATAATTTCAAATCAATTTTCATGCACATACACATTGTCAATTCCGAGGATGATAAAATGAAACAGTGTAGCATAAAAAAAAAAAATTTAAAAAATTAGAAAGAAATTCAACCCTTTCTTTTCTTTCATAAGGTAAAACAATAGTGCAAAATGATAAGATCGTCATACACAAATATTCCGGGGTCAATCCACCCGCTATGGCAATTCATTTCTATGCAAATATTACTTACATGTATGATGGAATAAACATTTCAAATGATTGTAGGGGGAAAAAAAACTTTCTCAATGAAAAAAAAAGGCCAAACTGAAATGAAATAATTGAAATGAATTGAGAGCGAAAAACGAAATCCCTCCCAACAAACAAAACTCAGATTAACAAAGGAAACAAGAATACGGCTGCCTATCTTCGTTAGCTTAGCTAATTTTACAGCTTCCTTAAAATTATTTCCAACAAAAGGGAAAACTGGGAAAAAACTAAAAAAGTAACTTGTGAAAAAATTCTCATGAGAAATTCCCAAGAATTTGTTGCTATACAACGGATACCACATACCAAAATACTTAAATCAAATAAGCAGGATATATAACCTTATCGGCTTTTAATAATTAGTTTGGAAAGTAAAAATATTCCAAGTGAATCTACATTACTAATATGACATCCTAAATAAGCCGAAACCACATTTAATAGTGGAAATCGATGTAACTGACGAAATAAACGAAATGCATATGTGGTGGATTCGAATAAATAAGGAATAAAATCTATCAGTAAGGAATATCAATATGGATCCGTATGTATCATCGTCGTATGGAACCGTTCCTTTATCCGTAAATGCAGATTGCATGTGGGCTATTATTAAAAATGCAATTGTTATCAGGAATATTCCAGTAATTTTAAACTCAATAAATAATAGAATTTCACTTCTCTATCCATTTTGTGTGGCAAAATATACCGGTAATCTAATACGCATACATTAATTTGGAACAAGAAAAAAAAAGTGCAAATACAAGACAAAATTTACAATTTCATATTCTCCACTAATAGTATTTTTAAAATGAAAAGGAAAAAACAGAAGCACATTTCATGAATATAAAATTTCAATAAAAGAGCAAGAAAGTAAACAAATACAATTTTGACAAGAAAGGATGCAAATTCGATTTTTTTTCCGATCTTGTAGTTTGATCTTTTTCTTGTTGGATAGTACTACTCAAACAACGAATATGTACACATCACATATGCCATAGATGTCTGCGATTTTCCTATAATTTTAAAATGAAAAATTATGATTCTACCGAGCAAAGGTATAACTTTAAAAGCAAAATAATAGTTCTAGATGCCTTGTAAATACCACTATTACCACGACCGATTCCTCATCAAATAAATATATTTACACTTTATGAAAAAATATTACAAAACTATACGGATAATTTAGTCACCGCAAAAAAAGATTATAGAACCAGTCCAGTGAATGTTCCAGGATATCTCCGTTCTATCGCAATTATTGGGGTCCTATACTTCAAGACCTGTCATTCTTTTCGTCCCCTTTCAATCTTAACAGACAAATCTCACTAATGTTTATACAAAACACCGGATATTATAAGCCATTTCATAAGTTGGGTCCCAGAACCTGAAAAGGATGACTCAATCAGGTTCACTGTCATCTAATGTTAGATCTACTGTTACTCGCAAGTAATCCACTAAATCATTTCAATAAACACACAAATAATTTAATATTAAAAGTTGAATTTATAAAGTTTTAAAAAGATACCTTTACATGAATTGAATATCCTAACAGTACATATTATTTATACATAATCGGCATGCTGCCATCCCAAACTTCCCTTGCGGTCACCAGGAGAAAAATCCTAAATGATTCGTACTTTTCAGTCAAAAATGATCAAAATAATTTTCGGTCAAACCATTTTTTCTAAAATTTGATGAATAAGTCTCTCGCAAGCCTGTTCCTCATCTTTCTTAGCAATGTGAATGTTTGTTTTGCAGCTGGCAGAATGATTTATTCATTTTGACAACTGAGGAACTGAAAAATGTAAACAAGCAAACCATCATTGAATGTCAAAATATTGCATTCTTTTGTGCAAGGAAAAAAAAGAATTCTTGATTAGAAGGATTTCAAAAAATGTCGTACTTTATCACTGGAAACTGTTGACGTATACAAGGAAGGAATTTTGGGAGCGTTAGAATCAATTAATGTCAATTTCTTCTCCGTATTACGCATTTCCGGAGTAATTTCCTAAAATCATTGATGATAATAATCAGCAGACTAATTTTTTTTTCTGAATATTCCTTTACTGACGACTAAACTAAATAATTCGAGAGTTCCACAGAACACTTGCAATTACAAGTTTTAAACTGGATAAATCCGAAAATTCAAATTAGCAATGATATATAATATGCAATATACTTATACACGACCTTCCTCAAAAATTCCGGAATTTCGAACACTTTCTCTCTACCATCGATATGTTCCCGTTTACTTTGTTTTGTAGAACCAGTACTCCTTGTATTTTGAGGTAACCTAAGATTTTCAACGGCAGTATCTTCACCACAATATGGGATATCGGCCATGGCGGCACTCGGCATTCGTTGAAATGTACCCAACGATTTCCGCCTATAAAAAAAAGATATATATGATCTTAATATATTAGATGGAACATAGCATTTCCATATTTGTTCGATCGAAAGAATTAAGGATAAAATCGAAAGTTTTTTTAGATCTAAGACATCTTTCTTGCCTTGTTTGAGCATGTTATAATCTAATTCAAGCTAAGAGGTTGAATAACTCAGGAGAACCTTCATTCCATTTCTGCAACGAAAATCATTTCGACTGTATAAGGTTCAGTACCTAAACGGGTATTCCAATGGGTGAGAGAAAAGGAGACACAAAAGACAAACATGTAATATCTTTCCAAACGTCAATAAGTTATGGTTGGTTTCTAAAATAAAAAAGTCAATAAGTAATGGTTAAGTTTCTAAAATATGAACGAAATAATTGAAGAGTTGAAAAGAACAGACAATATTTTACGAACCTTATTTCATCAGTATAACTGGAAGGAGCTAACTGAGAATTATTGTGACCACCAGAATGTTGTTTTCGTTGTTGCTGCAGTGATCCCGCATGATACTGATGGGACGACGATGAGAGTCCGGTAGTATCGGATGATGATGGTTCACGATTTGTTACTGCTTGGCTTGCTTTCCGAACAAATTTCAACAAGCCAGATGTGTGATCAGTCTGAAATAGAAGTACATTTCTCTTTGTTTTATGTATTTCTTTTTTCATTTATCTGACATTTATATTAACATGCTTTTCGGGCCACCACTATCAGTTTCATTGAAATCACTTCACTGAAACCACTAATACATCATGTACAGCTACTAAAATCTTCTATTTACTTCATGAAAAGCGTGACCTTAGCATTGCAGTAGGAACGTGTTGCATTCATCTTGCCTGTACGTAAATCGAAATCAGCTGGTAGTTCAACAAATGCAACATCACCATGCTGATAGAATGGCAAATTCATTGCTGGTGTTGAAAATTGCGTTGAATGAAATTCCTTAGCAATTTCACGCTTCGGTGAATGTCTTCTTTCTGTGAGAAAAAGTGACCAATGATTATACGGAAATATAAATTTTCAAGTAAAACCATTTCAATTCTGTCGCTGAAAAATATGCTTCTAAAACAACTGATCCCAAGAAAAACAACCTTGATATTTTTGCTGCGTCATCACCAAAACAAATCGTTGTCGTATCGTACCAACAGTTGTCTGCCAGCTAACAGCATCGAAGGAGCTTGGAAGAACAACAACACATGAATCGTAATCAATTAAATATTTCGCCAAAACTGGCCTTAACACAACATTCAATGAAAGGCCATGTCGGGCTCGCAGTAGTACAATTCTGAAATTAATAATCAAAAATTCAGAAACATGAAATTAAGCTAAATTAAGCTGGTCAAGTGAAAACCGCAAATATTGAAATTACCCGTGGCTTAAAACTCCTAAAAAGGCGGAAATTTTAATTTCTACTGGTATTTCATAAAGTCTCAAACAAAATTCAATCTAAACACCATCCTATTATGAGAAAAAAAAAAAAAACTATCCTATCATGAGGAAAAAAAAACCATTTATACTAGTTAAAAGGAAAAAAACACCGTCCTATGCTAGTTGTAATTCTGGTTAGTTAATATCAGGATACAATTAGGATTCAGAAGCTTAGCACTAAACTAAAAAAATGCACTGTCTGGTAATAGTCGATTAAGACAAGGCAATCTGATGCAATAGTAATTATCTAATCAGTAATCACAAATGGCGTATATATCAGCAAACGATTTAAGAAATATTTATTATACAATTGTGGGCATAAATTAGGCCTGAATTACGGTTGGATAAAAACCGAGTCATTTTGATGGTAAGTTTTAGAAAATGGAAATTTCGATAGAGTTGTAAAAATCAGATTAACCTCGAATTTGTTGTGGATGTACCCGTTTTATTTGGAGCATTTGGAATCATTATTTCGGCGGCAAAAAGTAGCACAGGTAACAAACGCACGCACCGGTTATTTAATGCATCGACAGCTTGTCGAGCTGGGTCAATCGTTGCACCCGACTAAAACTTTGCATAAATACAAAAAATTTCGTTGCGCATGATTGAATATTTCCAAAAAACTATATTCCATTGCTTTTTTCTCTTAAATTAAAATCCATTTGTGAAATTTGAAAATCTTATGGAGTTCCACGCCAAATCATTAACATTTAATTTATGAAATAGCATAATTTTACATACTGCAAAAGAAAACGAAACTTCATGCCATAGTTTAATGTTGAGAATGTTTCCGGGAATAAAAATAAAAAAAGAATAGCTTTGACGTCAAATTTCTAGTGCTCCAGTGCTAAAAATATGTAAAGAAGTTTTCGTGTCAAAATTCTACCTCAAAAGTGAATTTCATAAACTAACCTGAGCATCAACAACTTCAGTCGCACCTGGATCCATACCATGTTGAGCTGCAACTGTTGCTGTCCATTTGCCTACCGATTCCGTCTGAAATTTTATAGAAGAAAAGAATTTGACAAATTAATTAACATTAACCACATAAAACAAAACGACAAAACGACATCATAGTTTTACCGGCTTAGAATAAAGCATCGTTCATTTTTGTTTCATTTTAAGATCAATTTTATTGGAAAGAGATACATTTTCATTAATAATTTGATGTTTAAAGAAACAGCACAGAACAAAAAATACTAACCGGATCATGAAGAGCAATTTGCTCAACACAAGGTGCATCATTAAGCATCAATGTGCAAAACTTGGTACATACTTCGGCAACTCTTGAGCTAGAAGTACTTGGTGGTGGAGCACCAGAAGAGATTGACTGAAAATTGAATTTATTGGTGTCAAAACTGCTTCATGAAATGTTGCTAATGACGCTCAAAAAGAGTCATTAAAAAGATTAATTTCGTACCACCGTATATCTGATTGATTTCCATCATTTTGCTACTGAATGATAAGGTAAATTCATATATGAATATCCGTTTTTTAATGCAAATAAAGAATGAAGGTAATTGGGATATTGGGACATTAACAGTCGGTCATTAATGAAGAAATGGAATGAATCAGCTGATACTGTTACTGAACGTAAAAAAATTATGTGGATCAAAGGAAATATAAAAGATAGAAACCAGGCTCTTTAAAAGTAAAAGGTACAGCTACAATTCAATTTAACTATCAAACATGACAAACATGTAAACAGATAGTCCACTCACAACATAAATTAAGGAAAGAAATCCACAATACTACACTTCACAAACAACCGCGGTGACAAACCAAAGATTCGCAAAAATAATCGAGATATTCTACGAGTTTTTTTAATCGTTAGTTCGGAAGAATAAAAAACGAATAGTTGGATTAAACACTATTCAAAATATAGAACATTTCTATGGCCACCAAAAGCGTTTGCAAAATTTTCGAAAAATGTTGAAAAGAAATGGAAAAAGAGACCTCTGTGAGCAATAAACGTTGCTTTCCGGTAACTGTGAAGCCGCGACGTCGCAGGGAACCGTGTTTACTTAATGTTCCAATTCTCAGTTCGCTATCAGACCTAACAAACAATGGATCCCGCATATTTCCTGTGTAACCTGATGTTGCTAGTTGCTCCTGTGTTAAAGACCGCCCTGAACTGGGATGAGATCTGGAAAACCGAGGTGACGTACATTGCTCAGTCGTCTCGTGCACCAGTGAACTATCATAATCGCAATTTTGTTCCAGTGAATCACCGCCATCTGACCAGGCTTTTTTCCACCGTGAAAATCTGGGCTTCAGACCGTGCCAGATTAGCGACCTACGCTTCTTATCTCCGCGACGCTTCTAGAAACCAAAAACAAACAAACTGTACAAACAGAACAAGCTAAATGTTACTCCAAGCTGTTACTTACTCGACAAATTTGATTTCAGATATGGAAACAAAATTTTTCATTTATTTTTCATCACGACTATTCAGAAAATCAATGCAATACGTCTCCGAATACTGACGTGATTGCACGTCGGACATGGCTGTGTATTAGCTTCGGGAAGCGTTCATGATACTAATCACCAAACTGTCCCATTTTATTTTCTCCGCTGGCTGATCAGTGATGGATTATTTGGCTTTCAGTACCAAACATTTGACAGTGTGTTATTTAAGATCATGTCCCGGTATAGCCAAATCTTGCCCCATTTTCCGCAATGAGATGAAGTGTCTTGGCCGATTTTTGTGAGAGGAAGTTATTTTATAAAACTGAAGGGGAATCCAACGTCTGTATTTCTTATTAAATATAACTGTCACAGTATCCCGTTTTTTTTTGGTTTTTGAATTTTATTTTCAAAATCTATTTAAAACGGATGAAACAGATACCTTCACGACATGCAGGAAGAATTAGAATGTAGTTTTAAAAGCATACCATATCTCTTCCATTCAAAACATGCCAAAACTTGTTAAATTTTTTTAAAAAAATGAAATACAGACAAAGAGAAAGGGAGTGAAAGTGAGGGAGAAAGACAGAGGGAAGGAGAGTAGGAAAAGTTAATTCGTGCGTTCAAACGGTTATAAGACTATTAAAAAGCAAGTTTATTGTTTCTTTCGTCGAACATTTGTTATTTCACTTTGAAATTTTGGATGCATTTCTCCAAAGCTTTTTCCACACTCTCGATTTGAGTGAACAAGAACAGTGAAATTTGGAGAGAGCGGCGAGACAGAAGATATGTGCAATTGATTCTAGTTTTTCTACTTGAGATTAACCTGAACAGAAATAAAAACTTACTCGAAAAGTTGATCCACCTGTCGTTGAAGTCCCAGATGTTTCATCAGGATCATCATCAAATGTTGGTGCTACGCCACCAGCACGTAGATAACGTGGCCAACAATCATATTTCAATAAATGAAATATCTGAAATATTTGATTATGCCTGATTAAATTCGAACGGTATGAAAACACTGCGATTTAAACTGTTTTTTAATTTCATCATTTTTACCTATTTAAAATGTACATTTTCAGTAGGTTTTTTTCCTTTTTTTTTTGTGAAATGTGTGATAATTTAAAACAATCCATAATCTCCCAATAACAAGGATAAAAATAGATTCAACAGTGACAAATCCTTCGAAATTTCGTCTTAAGAGATCAGAAATAATAAGTTTCACATTGTCAACGAATGAACGTCTTATAAATAAACCTGATATTGTGCCACATCATACAGTTGAGGTGTGAAATCTTCCGACATTACTGCATCTCTAATGCTTTTGCTTGTACTGTTATCAATATTTACCGGTTCTATACCATTTGGCGCGAAATATCGCTCAAAAATCTGACGGCCGACTTCTGCTCTTTTCTCTAACTAAAAAGGAAAAAAAAAAATCGAAAGAAATGGAAACAATACATGAATGTAAAATTTATGCGAAATGTTTTCAAAATATATTGATAATTCTATCATTTTCAGTACCTAGAAAGAAAAGGCTCTTAAAGATTGGGTCACCAAAAAAGAAAACCTTTTTCATTTGCGATGCAATAAATTTATTATTGAAAGTTTGCGAAAAAATGAAATATTAGATAATTAAACTATCAATGAGTAGAATAGAGAAGTTAAAATTTACAAATGAAAAAGGTTTACTTTCAGAGGAAATTGAATTTAAATGACTTAAAAAGAAATGATGCATACATACATCTGAATCGGGGATCGAACGATAATCTTCCACGGCCATATAAAAATTAATATTTTCGGCACAAAACTGTTGCTCAAGAAATTGCTATAAAAAAAAATAATGGAGTAAAAAAAGTAAGTTAGGAATTTTTTTCCAGTTAAATTAATTTGGAAATAATAGTTAAAATACAGCTGTTTTGTCAGAAAATTCTGAAATTTATGATATTTAACCTGAAATGGTTTCCTGTACAATTCATTGTGGAGTATTTTTTCGACATCAGTGCAGGTTCTGTCAGTTGTTTGATTGCTACTACTACCATTCGCCATTACCATGGATTCCAGTAGCTCGTTCACTTGTCCTTCCGCCCTTATCGCTTTAAATTTTGTCTTGATTAAAAAATAAAATAAAAATAGACTCCGTAAGACCATTTCTATAGTTTTATTCCATCCTATGTCTCTTTCTCCATGTCAAAGATTTCATTCGTTCTTTGCGACATCAATTATACATCCATCAGATGATATTTCTCATCAATTTATCTTTTCTTGGATAGTAATTGATAAGTATAATTATGATGGGAAGTAGAATATTTCGAAAGCTGTTGGATACCAAGTAAAAACTTATCAACCGACATATTTTCTTTTGAAATTAAAAAAGAAAAATTCTAGCAGTACCGGGAATAACTGCGTGCTGTTCTCTTTTTGATGGAAACGATTGAATTATTTCACAACATTCAGAGCAAGGAGAGCAATTTGTATCTGATGAACGGAAAACATTCCTGAAATATTCCTATTTGCAACTTTTCCCTTTTCTCTTATAATGAGTGCAGATAAGTCGATCATTTGATCAGAGAGCAGTACAGTATGTTCAGCAAAAACAATGTGATATCTGACCAGTTGATATATTGTGATGGAACAGCTTAGTTATTGACATAATAAGGTTGTTCCGGAAGACTAATCATTAATTCGATAATTATTCGGAGATATATTGTACTGTATCTACCATTATTATAATTCGAAATGCATGATGTAAAAGAGAGGAAATCTTACTCGAGTGATCCATTACGGCATTCGTCCTTCAGCAAACCACTGAAGACGGTACCACCCGCTTCACTACCAAACCCTTTAAAGAAATTTAACAATAATATGAGGGATTTTTAAAAAATCTAGCTAAAACAAATATTAATGTGAAAAAACACACACATACACACACATACATGGGAAACTGAAGTTGAACTGACCTTCTGATGTATAATTTCCGGAATTGGTGAAGAGCGTATTACACCCATACCCAGTAGTACGGAGTTGTTCAAGGTTCGTTGAACCAGTGCACCTTACTGCTTTTTCCCTTCTTTCGAGTTTAGCTGGCGTACAAATACTATCACCCTATAAATATCAACAAAAATCCTACTACATCCAGAAAGGAAACTAATATCCACGCAAACTTTATTACATCCGAAACAGAAAACTCGACTATGCATGCAAATTATTCTATGATTTTTCTACCATTCCTATCATCCATTCCTCCTCCCTCATCTTACCGTTACAAATGCTCATCTATCTCTCCCTTTGTTTCTAATTTCTGTTATGCCTGACCACTCAGTAATCTTGCCGTATTTTAAATGTTCGGTTAGACTTAGTAGTTGGGAACTACTTGACCAGGGACTACTTTGGCTGTTCCATTTGTAGCAGCAAGAACAAGGTTCAAAAACAACCAATTCTGTTAATTTGAAAATATATGCCAAAAGTTTTGATTAAAGTTTTAGTTCACCAAACACTGATAAGAACAGCCCCACCTGTTATGTACATATCATGTTACTGCTCTCATGGACTACCGCTAAAGAACTACTCGGCTAAACAGTAACATTAATCACCGAATCATCTCCCAGAAATGACCGTAGTAATTCTCGAAGTAATTCCACAACAGCTTCGGGTAGGAAAGAAAGGTGTGGGATGAGGGGAGAGGGAGGGGGAAGGGAAACGGGAAAATTCACTTAGTAGTGTAAAAATCCATTAAACTAACCGCCTAAATATCGATAAAAGAGTTTTGCCACGAACAACCTGTGGTTTATAAATAAAGCGTTACAAGCACTTTGGTGGGTGGAAGAAGTTGGAGGAAAAAGGAGGAGGAAGGAGAAAAAAACTTTGTTGCCCAAAATATTATCCAGTAAGGTATCATTTCGCGCTAATGACCAATAGTTACAGGTAAAAAGTTAAATGCTTCATTTATACATCAATGGATTTATCCATTGGAAAGCCAACAAACATCACTTCAATCGATCTATCACATCATGATGGATCGAATAAACCATCACCTCTTTAACCAATCTAAACGGCTATATCGACATACTGAGGTATGGAATACTCTAGAACCATCTGGATGAGTAGGAGCTTATATTGTACTATAATTAAGTTGCTTGTTCACTTCATATCCGCCCTCTCTTTTCCACGCTTAATTTCCTGACAATCAAGTGAAATGACTGAATTTCGAAATAGAATCATTTCAGATATAAATCACCGCTTTGAATGAATATGCATGTATATATATATATATATATATATATATAT